TCTGCTCCCCCACCCCAGGGGGGCTTAAAGTATGTAATATGCTAAGTGAGAAGATTGCCATGGCGCACGCCTGTAATCCCAGCACTCGGGAGGCTGAGGCAGGAGGATCGTTGTGAGTTAGAGACCAGCTTGGTCTACAAAGTGAGTTCAAGGCCAGCCTGAACTGCATAGTGAGACCCTGTCTCAAAAAGACCAAAAAACAAAACAAAATGAACAAAAACAAGACTGCCTAAACACTCTGCAACTATTTTAACAATTATTCTTCAATGTTTTAAAATTAGCACTTAATACTTACATATGAAGCACAGTAAACCCCAAGAAACACACCATCTAACTTTTCAAATAAACTACTAATATCCTGTGTTTTTTCCTGATCCTATCACTCTGGCCTCCTCCCTAGAGAGCATCTCTGTCTCGAACTTTGGGTTTAGCATTCTTTCCTACGTATCATATTTGTGCAGGGTCTTTTTCTTCACATGTAAGATACAGCTTCGGATTAGTTTTCCAAACTTCATTTCAGTTGCAGATGACAGGTAACACCATGGTGACACACCTAGTGGAACCATGTCAATGCTCCTTTTTCAAGGGTTTCATAAAGCTCTTCTGCTGAAATCTCCAATTTAACAAAAGTGGCTCAATAAAGCTTCTAATCTCAACATCAACTTTCCTTTTTTTTTTTTTTTTTGCTTTTGCTTTTTTTGAGACAGGGTCATGCTATGTAGTTCAGGCTGGCCTGGACTTACTATGTAGCCTAGGCCACCTCAGACTCCCCAAGTGCTGGGATTACAGGCCTGCACCACCAAGCCTGGCTTTCATCACTTTCAATTCGCACTTCTGCTATAAATCTCTGCTCTAGAGAAAAATGACACAAGGAGCTGCCCAATAAAAACCTCAAACCCAGGTTTGAGGAAATAGAACTGAAACAGATGAACTTGGAAAAGTGAACTTTTAAAACATTTTTTAATTTTTAAATGTTTTTTGAGACAGGATCTTGCTGCATAGTTCAGGCTGCACCTGAATTACCTACATAGCCCAGATTGGTGTCTTTTTTTTTTTTCTTTTGAGACAGGGTCTCCCTATGCAGCTCAGGCTGGCCGTGAGCTCACTTTGTAGCCCAGGCTGGTCTCGAACTCACAATGATCCTCCTGCCTCAGCCTCCCGAGTGCTGGGATTACAGGCGTGCGCCACCACGCCTGGCTTAAAAACTGTCTTTCAGTAAGGTAAACACAAATATCAATCTTCTGACCAAGTACCTGTTCTCTAAGGTCACTGTCTGGCTCAGGAGGCTGTTCTGAGCTGTAAACAAGTCTAGATTTTATATTTGTCTCACAAGTTTATGAGTTGAATGGGACAGAACTGGTGTGTAAGGCAAATGTCCTGTTCATACCCAGGTCTGTGTTAATCAGATCTCTGGGTGGCTAGAACAGAGAGCCAGCTGAAATTGGCAGGAGGTAACAGGCTGATGTGTCCTCAGCGGTCTCTGGAGAGGCCAATCTGTAAAACAGGGGGTGAACATCTCTGAACCTCAACAGTACCAGGAAGACGGTGTTCAAGAAAATGAGTATTGTCGCTACAGTATTTTTCTCATGGAAGTTAGGTTTTTCCTTTATTCTACCCATTGAATTGGCACATAAAATTTGTACTTTCTTAAGTTTCTCTTCTTTCTAAGGCCAGACTAGCTTTGATAATTTAAAACAGGATACACAAACAGGGGTGCAGCTCGGTGGCATAGTGCCTGGCTTGCACGCGTTGAGTCCTGGGTTCAATACCTACTTCCAGCACAAGTAACAAGAAACCACCACCATCCAACTCAGAAACACATAGTATACAAACTGCATGTGTGCACCCCTGCGCATGTGCATGTGCGGTACCTGGGACTGAACCCAGGGCCTCTGTATCACGCTACGTCCCCAGCCCTTTTTTGAGAAAGGGTCGCCCTAAATTGCCCAGGCTGGGCTGAACTTGTGATCTTCCTGCCTCAGCTTCCCACAGTGCTGGGATTATAGGCCTGTGCCACCATAATCTGCCTCTTTAAAAAAGTAAAATGTTATCTTTTCACTTTTTTCCTACTCTGAAGCTTAACATGAATTGTGAAGCCTAAGCTCCTGAGTTCGATTCCTGGTACCAAAAATAAAAAATATGAATTGTGAAAAGAACAAGCAAAGGACTCCAAGGATGCCAGCACAGTTTACACCGTATATACTTTGTCTAAGAGACCAACACGAGAGTTACTACTCTGCCTTATCAATGAAAGAGTACTACAGTGCATGATTTGAAATTAAATCTAAATGTTCTCCTTTTAGCTCAGGTATAGCTACCAGGAGAGCTAAGCATCACTTATCATTTACATTTCTTTATTCCTGGTGAGAACATTCGCGAATCACAATGGCTCTTCTAGAATCCCCGCAGAGAAAGGAAATTTCCTAAATAGCAAATCCTTTCCTTGGGGCAGAGTAAGAAAGCCCCGGGTAAGACAAAGTGAAGCGCTTAGGTCTTTTAGGCTTAGCTTTGCAAACACGTCTACTTCCACCTTTAACCACAACATTTGACTTTAACTGAAGCTGACACGGAATATTCAGCTGTTTACTTTTCACTGATCACACCTGACGGAAGGGGATTCTCTGAAAAAGGTCTCTCAAATAAGCAAGAAAGTCCCAAAGATAAGCTGTTCCTCATAATTTCTGACAGAACTGGTAGAGATACAGAACTGTTTCTTTGTATTAGCTTTTGAGAATCTTCAAACATTTTTGGCAAATTAAATTTAGACTAGTAAATCACAGGCTCAATAAAAATCCTGAGCAGTCTCTTAAAGTCTGTGAGCCAGACAAACTGACAGCTAAAACAAACTAAAGAAACAACAGGACTATCTTGTGAGCTACCAAAATTAGATCAGGCAGGCACTCTCCCTACGGTGAACGCTAGTCGCACTCAGGAAGGTTCTGTGATCAAATTCTAGTAGTCATAAGCATAGAGCTATCTTTCCAAAACAACAAGATTTTTCAGGAACGACAGACACTAGTTGATTCTTTTAGATACTTAAAAAACACAAGGCAACTATTTTCTATTAGATTTCTTAGGAG